TAATAAAGAAAAACGATTAAACAACTCTTAACTGTAACTAGGCATACTTACATAATATGTGTCACACGATCGTCCATCAATGACGAACCTGTAGTAATGTACTAATTCGTTACAAATTTAATTTCGTTGTTAGTATGGATCGCTTGTATGTATAAGGTAACACGTAATTGAAAAAGTCCGCCTTTTTTTAACTGCCAAAAAATTTTAAAAGATTTATTATAATTATGTATGTAAAATTTATAAGGTCTAACTCTCTTTTGAGATTTGTTTTGTTTCATTTTGATTTACTTACTTACTGTACTTATCCTTGCTTAGCATTTTATATTTTACTATAGTATTTAATATTATTCGTACAGATGTACAAATGTTTTTATGTCTTTGCCTCATTACTGCTCTGTGTGAATTATTTTCCTAATTATATACTGTAAGGCACCTACGCGTTCTTTCGCACGTTTCGTTCTAGTTTTCGTTTAAATTTCTATGTAAATATTAACAATAGCTTATGATTTCACGGTTATGAGCTATTGTTATTCTTGATATGCGAACTGTATTCTTGTGATTTTCACGACATTATTGAGAGTAGCAATTATTTAAACTTGGTCGCCAATATTTTTTTTTAAATGTCGTTTGGGTCTTTTTATTAATGATAGAAGAAGACAGACAACCATCGGTTAACATGATGGTGTGAGTTGATTCCAGCCTATTGACCTATTTTGGCTTTGGATATTCGGAAATCCACAGACTGAAGCCGAAACACGGTAACGCTTCACGGGTTCTTCATCTGCGGACGGTGGTTCCTGACCCGGGCGGAATTTCTATATTCCTACCACCCATTTAATATCCAGATTTACAGACGATGTACAGCATGTTTCAGAAAAATTATAAATATGTTGGTGGTGGTGGGGATCGAACCAACGACCTGTTAATTACGAGCCATACATTAGGCCGTATTAGCTGCCCGTCGAAAAATTAATACGATATGAAAGAAGAAAGAGAATCAAATTGTTCCAATTTTACATATAACTCCTTATAAATAAGAAGTGAAATCTTCTTTCCCTATCTTTGGGGTATAAAGCAGACAAGAAGTTGAGTAGGAACTAGAAATACTTCTGTGCCCTACTGAAAAATTTGCACCTAATTTAACTAAAGCATCATACACTACTTACATATGTTGCGTTGCATTACCATTATGAGGGAATCAAACCCGGACCCTTGTGTTTAACCATCGAGCCCCGGAAGCGGTGCACATGATTTAACACGATGCTACTAATTACACATGTTGTAGCGTGACAACAGTTTTCTAGGTAAAACAGTAGAGCAACAATTAACTTCAACAAGTCGTGACTATCATGTAATTCATTTTTCAACAGCAAACATTGAAGCAGCAAAATAGGTAATTTTGTTTTCTATAACATATTTGATCAGTTCTCTTTTTCTTACGAAACTCTACGGATTCAAAAATATACTGAAGAATGTAGTGGAATGTTTCTTTTATAATAGAAGATATATAAATATAATTATAACAGAATCTTCTATTATAACTTCATGGAAGGGGGATCCCTCAGCTTTATGACATCTCAACAAGATGCGCTGTCGATCTATTTTAGTTATGGACATTCTGAAATCCACTAACTAAAACCGAAAGCCGGTTTTTATCTGTGGACATTCTGTAGCACAATCGGAATTTCAATATTCCTACCATCCATTTAAACACAAGTGTATTTTTTTATTAAGTAAGATCCTCTTATCTTATCTTGTCGTTAATTACGAATTGTGTGACGTAGAAATTGAAACAAACATCACTAATCCCTCATTGACTCAACTTCGTATTTAATGTTTCAAACCAACAGTGGCGGTCATAACTTTGCAGACGAATCGTGAGTCACGTTCCTGTGACAAGGATTGCCTATCTATATACAATCTGTGGATTTTATCTACTGGAATGTTGAATTCTTAAATAAACAAATTTAACGACTTAAAATGCGAAATTATAAATTATTTTAACTACCGTCCAACGTTTAACTAAAATATATCGCGTTTTAAACCGTTAAAGTGTATTTTTTGTATACGGCCGGGGGGGGGGGGGGGGGGGGGGGGGGGGGGGGGGGGGGGGGGGGGGGGGGGCCCCCCCCCCCCCCCCCCCCCCCCCCCCCCCCCCCCCGGGGGGGGGGGGGGGGGAAAAAAAAAAAAAAAAAAAAATCCCACCCCCGGGGGGGGGGGGGGGGGGCCCCCCCCGCAAATTTTTTTTTTTTTTTTTATTTCACTGGGGGGAAAAATTTGGGGGGGGGGGGGGGGGGAAAAAAAAAAATGGGGGGAAAGGGGGGGGCCCTTTTTTTTCCCCAAAAAAAGATTTTTTTTTTTTACCCTTGTGTGGGAAATTAAGGGAAAATTTTTTTTTTTTTGTAAATGAAAAATAGATGAGAGAGATAGAAGAGATGCCTTATGGAAATGGAATGGGATTATGATACTTGAATATGGATAATCAAGGCACCAGTAAACGGAGTTAGATAATTCGGACAATAGAAAAAATGGAAGAAAACGGCTCACATAAGTAACAGACTTAAGGCGATTTGTGTTGTTGTTAGATATTTTCGCTATCACGACTTTAAAGTTTGGTTTGACAAATCGTCTAAAAAAGTTGCTCTTCTATTTCCTATTGCGAAGTAATCTGGATACAATTCAATTCTTTTGAAAACATGGTCGTTTGTTGTCGGTATGTTTTTTTAAATAGGACCTTGTTAAAACATTACTTTGTATTTAAAGAAAAACTAACAACGAGACACCTCTGTAATTTACTTATGTTATCGAGACTATTGTATCATTAAATCGCTACAGCGTACGATCGTTTCGTCTTATAAGCTTCTAAAGTGTGGGCAAGTGAAATGTGTCTTTTATATTTAAAAAAATATGACACGGTCAGGATTGGTGTCCGGCGGTGGCATTTTTAATTGCCATAAAAACGGTTAACGGTAATAATTTTTTCTTACATATTTTTTCATCCAGCCAGGCAGGGCCACTGAAAATCAGTGTTGCAACACAGGCGTGTTCGTAGCGTAATGTCGAGTGGCTCCTGTTTTAGGAGTTGCCATAGTTATTTTTTTTTTAAATCTTCTTGAAGTTAATCTTAGTTCGTATTTTTTATTTTAGTGTGAATTTTTTAAATAAACTATGATAATGATTATTATTATAATTCATCTAACCAACACAAAGATTTTTTTCAAATGCAGTAGTTCCTAAGATTACCGCTTTCAAACAAACAAACCCTGTAGCTTTATATTAGTATAGATTGAAAGCTACAAAATATTTAAATTATTTTAATTTGGTGCCATATATGAAACGTGGAGTACGAGATAAAAATCAGACCCAATCCGAACAGACACTGACCCCGATGGAATTGCGGAAACCACATTATTTAAATGACTCACAAAATTTCTCTTCACTCAGCTTAACCTCGAACCTGAACTTTGTCACAATATGTTGTTTAATATTCATTGTTTCTGCGGTGACATAGAATTCTTTGAAGCCTTCACTGGGGTGACTCTCGTGTTTAATAAATAATTGTTTTCGGGGAATACGTCCATTGTTGGCATAGGAACATGGCCATAGTAGTGTTACTATGTACTATAAAAACAAATTCACATCTATACTCTATAAGCTGAAGAAATTGTTTGTTTGAAAGAGCTAATCTCTAGAACTACTGATTCGAAATGAATATTTCTTTTTGTGCTGGTTTCATTTAACTATAAACATCTCGCTACCCCTATAAGGCGATGAAAGACTGTGAAATGTGGTTTTCAACGAACTTATTTGAAAATGATTTAACTTCGCCCGACGTTTCGGATGCTTTGCAGCAGCCGTGGTCAACGGTGGAGACTGATCATTTTTAAAAAGTTTAACTAATATATCGCGTTTTAAACCATAAAGTGTTTTATTTAACTCTTTTAATGATCTAAAACGGTATTTCTACCTTTTAAGATTAACTTGCAATAACAACGGGACGCAGACGACGTCGCGGGTATCAGTTAAGATTTCTAAAAATGAGGATGAGGCTTACAGAAACAAAATTTGAAATTGGCGGGCAAAAATTAATTATTACTAAATAAATAAAGTTAATATGAAAGGAGCTATATTTTCAACGTCTTAAAACGCGAAATATATTAATTAATTTATTTGTCATTTCGACCCTCGTGTTTCATTTATTGTGAACCATTCTACTGCGTAACGTTAAAAATTATCGCATTTTCAAATTCCTGTTTTAAATTTAAGCTACAGGTTTAGTTTAAATTATTAAAATACACTTTGGATATCGGCTATGTTCTTTAAATGTAAATTTAGACTGATATCCGGTCTTAGTGCGACATTTTTCGTGTTCTATTGAATAATACATATAATATACATATATATAGTAGTATAATACCTATAGTAATTTTTTATATTAATGCTTGATTGAAATATAATTAATTTTATAATCACTTATAATTTTTGTATGTTTTTTCATTATATATATAGCATGTAATGGTACCGGACAGACTTCAAATAAAAATCGTCTTATCATAAGAGCGTTATCGTTACTTGGAAACATTAAAAATAATGTATTTTAAATACTGTCTGTAGTTTACGCGCGTAGTGCACCTTATTACTTATCAAAGTCTTTTAACGGTTTTAGACGAGAAGACAAGTGAGTCAGTTCTGCTAGAACCTAGCCAGTTTTAATTAATTAATTAGTAAATTTTACGTCCTATGAAATAACCTAGTAATAAAGGTTTAAAGCCCATTAAATACAGATTAAAAATAAAATATGTTAACATTTAGGTAAATTTCGCGTTTAAAGCCGTGTTTTATTAAAATTATTGTATTTTATAAATAATGAAGAATTCAACGATAGACTCAAGTAGCATTGATTATAAAAAATATTAAATAATGGACAATTCCTTTTTTAAATTGTTCTAAGTATATTGTTTACAATGTGTACAAATTATAAATAATATCATTCTCAACAGATGGGAGCAGGCGCGAATGGTCCGGGGGGTCGTCGCGCCCTGGAGCTGATCTTGAGCGGTGGTCTCAAGTCGTTGGCTCGACCTCACAGGCCGGTCCGGCGGGCCGCCTCCAGGGACTCTGTGCTGTCACAACCGCAGCCCTTGCTCGAAGGTTAGTATTTTATAAACATTAGTAGATAAATTAAATTTGAAAAATTACTAATACGACAAACAAGTGAAAGCGTTAATTAAAAATCCATATTTATGATTAATGTAACTGTTCACCTGTGAACCTTATTATTTTTCGATAAAGTGTACAAATAATGCATTGTATGCATTTTGGGTACTGAAAGTGAAGTTTTGCAGACGAATAAAAACAATGGAGAAGCGATGGTAAACAGCATATTAATTTCTTTAACTAATACATACATATACACGTGATATACATACATATAACATTGAATATATGTTCCATGTTATTGACGTGATAAACAAAAAAACTAAATTTAATATGTGCAAATTAAGAACGTGTTTGTGCAAAATTATTACTTCCGATTTCCATAGTTCATTCGATTAATAATTAAAATAGAATTAAGAAAAAAAAAACCCATATAATTTTTCGCGTTTGATTTTATCTTAGGAATAGAGATGCGCCGAGTGACACTTTTGCCGAGTAACGAGTACCGAGTTTTACTCGGCTCAATTTTTTGTCTACCGAGTACTCGGTGGTAACTCGGCTCAATCAAATTCCCATTTCACGCGCGTAAACAAGTACAAACAGGTTCGCGCCGGTTAAGACGTCGGCTCGCTCTCATCTTTTCTTAATTTTGTCTTATGACTATTCATTCATTAGCATAATTTTGATTTTATTAATTGAGATTTTCAAATATTTCCTAAGTTACTATTAAATACTTTTGGATTAACACTGTTGTTTTAATTATCTACCTAATATATATAGCTTTTCTTAAACAACGGCCCATCTCTACTTAGGAATAGTACATGAAACATGTCGCGCAAATAATAAATAAGAAATGACCAGTAAATGCCACAAAGTTATGCAGTTGAAATACACAGAAAGTGGATAACGAATGTTTAAGGTTTCTCAGTTGCAACGTTATTAATACCTAGCGTGGCTGAAACCAGTTGTTTATTTGCAATTCTAATTCTTCAAGTTCTATGTTATCTGTGACCACATACGGCTTAATTGAACATTTTTCCCCTCTACGTCGCACTGAATTTTTAATGTTTCCTGTTGTTTATGGCTGTAACACGAATATTGTTTAATAGTGTATAACAATGGCTTTTGGTTTAATTACCTATTGCTGTTATTGTTTTTAACCGCCGCCTGTTTAGCTAAATGGTTAAACGTTTTGCCTAGCGTTAAGCGTGAGCGGTCCCGGATTCAAATCCCGTAAATCAACTGTAAATAAAAAAAGCCGATCGATGAAACACACAGAAATGTGTTTGCCCCATGCCCCACGGGGAAACGGTATTTCACTTTTAACATATTTGTTCTCGTTCGCTTTGCGTACGTTTGCGTAAAAAGGATACTTATCAATACGGTTAAGTTAAGCCAAAAACTAAATTTTAGATTTACTACCGGTTCTTTTTATTTTAACCACGGCCCGACGTTTTAGATGCTTTGCAGCATTTTGCGTTTGAAACTGTTGTAAGTGTTTTAATTAAATGCGTACTCCATGCGTAAACTACTTTGCTTAATATTAGTAGAAGTCGTTAAGTTAAGTAAAACAAGGTACTATGTGGTTATGTACATATCTTGCTCTAAGACTTATTGAATAGGATAATGTAGTTCATAATATTATTACAATCCGAGTCCCTGATAAGTTCAAGCACCGGTCACGCTTGGCAGGATAACGTCAATTGACGTCGTGGAGGCTTTAACCTATAGTCTTCCTGGGTATAGAGTTACCTACAGTCCGTTATATGTCACCTACGTTATTTCGATACCGATCACGCCTTCATATGAGGCTGCTAAAGGGAAAGAAACCAAATAACAAAAACACGACTTTCAATAAGGAGGGAAATAAAATGCGCAATTAACTTAGGCGAAAATTAATTTCTAGGTACTATTACTTGGATAAGGATTATGTTAACAATTTTCGGTCACTGTGCTCTTGTAGACAATCATTTTTAGACTATCAAAATATTAATAACTCAAGCCATCGTTTCTGGAGGCAGAGTAGCCGTTAGGCATCTAGCGGCCTCATATAATAGTTTATCGACGGTGAGTAATCTGTCTAGCCGTTTCAGAGATTAACCCAAAAAAGGCATGCAAAATATTTATTTTCGTATATAAAATCTCATTGTTTCCTGATGATATTTAATTACAGAATTCTATAAAAAAAATAAAATTCAATTTATATACAATTACCGCAAACGCTTTCAAATGCATTAAGTTATTAAACTTAAATTAGTAGCAATTACCACAGGCACATACGAAGAGGACAATTATTTGTATTGAATAGATAATGTATCCAGGAAGACATTATGCCATCCCAAACTGTGACTAAGGCAGAAAATATGGACAAACGGGGAAAATATTTCATCTTGGAGGGCTTCCGTTGCGTGCCCTGCGAAAACTAAAAATATGTATGAAAATTCTTTCATACTCATTCCTAAAACAACAAAAAAACTTCAACCACACGTATTATTAATCTTACGAAGTATATTAATTTTAAAATGAACTATTTTCATTACATTTCTTTTTTACACAGGTCTGAGGAAATGTTCAACAGTCCTCGCACTGACGGACCGAGAGAAGGCACCGGAGCCCATAAGAGCGCACAATAGACTTCGTGCACCTTCCGTTTGCTCCCGTTGTTCCTCGCTCTTGTCACTCGCTGGAGCTGGCGGGTCCAGGTATGACACTGCGTATTAATAATCTATCTCTTTAACATTTCGCAATAGTAGAACTTGTCAGAATAATGTTTAGACTAAGTTTATTACTTAACGAATCGAAAGGCTGGGAAGACAACACATAATAGTTAAAGTAACGTTTTACATTGTCTATATCGAATACAATAGCTTTAAATACTGTCTATAGTTTACGAGAGTAGTACACATTTAAATAAAACACTTTAACGGTTTAAAACGCGATATATTAGTTAAACTTATTTGAAAATGATTTTTAACTAATATATCGCGTTTTAAACCGTTAAAGTGTTTTATTTTAATACAATAGCTTTTTTATGATAAAGGATGACAGACAAGCAAGGACTTTATTTGTCAAAAAGTGATATATCCCAGCTAGCAAAAGAAGGCTTTGGATATTCAGAAATGCCTAAATTGAAACCAAAACGCAAAAGACTACGACTTTACAATTTTTCATCTGCGGCCATCCACAGATGAAAAATTGGATCATGACGCGAATTGAATTTATATATTGCCACAGCCTTTAATGTCCAGGTTTTCCAGGCGAAGACTAGGATGGTTGAGAAAAGCCTATAAGTCATATGTAATATTTTAGATCGAAGGCTACTTCCAATAAATTTTCGCAGAAATATTGATATAGTCTCAATATTTATTAGTCGATTCTCAGGTGTCATATTTATCTTTGAATAACCCTGAGAGTTGAAGGCTTCTATTGTCCGTTCATAGCTTTATTAAATGACAGCGAAAATGTTGTATAATCTTATGGTAACAACGTTTTGACAGTCTGTTTTAACGTTGCGTACTATTGGTTCCTGGTACGATTTTAAAGGTTATTTTTTACGCAAATATTGTTCGTGCCTTGTCAAAACGTCTGCTGCGGTGGTATTCGGTTAAAATCTTCGATAAAAATAGAATAGGGTTCGCTTTATATATATGATTTTCATAATAATTATATAAGAGATTTATTTAGAACTACACCATCAGTAATCTATACTAGTAACTATAACGCTGAAGAGTTTATTTGTTTGAAGGCGCTAATCTCAGGAACTAGGGTTCGAATTGAAAAACTTTTTGTGTTGATTAGAGCATTTATCAAGGAAGGCTATAAAACATCGTGCTGTGACTAATAGTGTGAAATGTGAACAAAACGGGGAAAAATTTTCATCTCTGTGGGTCTCAGATGTGTAAACTGCGAAAACGGTTCAATACCCCTAAAAATATGTAGGAAAGAATGATCACTCCTCAAATGATCTAAAAAAAATGTCCGCGACACCATATGTTTATCCTTTAAGATTAACTTGCAAGAATGATGGGTCGTGAGCTACGGGACGCGACCGTTATCGTGGGCAGCTTAATTTTATAAAGATGTAGAGGTTTGAAAAACGAATTTGGATGACAAAATAACTATTCTACGCGAACGAAGTCGCTGACACAGCTACTATATTATATATTTAGTGCACAAAGGAAATGAAAAACTTCATTAATTCTATATAAAGCTTTTTTTTACATATTGTTGGATGTGATAGCTTTTCATAGAGTCTATGCATAACTTAAACTTGATTGACACCGATGATTGAACTACAAAAATAGGTCAAGTTTGGACGTATCGAGGGACAAACTTGTATACAACTTTCGCAATATACATATAGTGTGAAGTCCCCGGTGGGGCATTGGACGAACACATTTATATGTCCGTTTCGCTGATGCGTTTAATTAACTGTCAAGTACTTCACGAAACAATCTGTTCTTCCCCGGGATTCGAATCCAGGATCTCTCGCACTTAACGCAGCGCTAGGCAACGCGTTCAACCATTTAGATACAGAGGTCCGCCACCTTGGAGGTCATAATGAAACGATTAACAATGTCATGAACGGGAATAATGTTTAGACGCGCTCGTTAGTGTTAGTGACGTACGGCTAATAAACAACCGGTCATGGGTCCGATCCCGACCAGTCCAACATGTATTTAATCAATTTATAATTTTTCTATAAGACGTTGAACTCGTCTGGACACCTGGATATAAAATTGCAATATCGAAATCGCGATTCGGTTTCACTCTCTGGATTTACGAATATTTAAAGCCAAAGTAGGACGACGGCGTATGTTGAGAAAATGTAAAATGGCCGTGGTATTTCACCTGTCATAAGTAAAATTAAAGGATTATCATAGATGTGCTTTTAAATCAGTTATTTTCTTTATTGGCAGATATTCCCTGGATGGCGCTGGTGGCGGCTTCATCCCAGCGGCACCTATCAACTGTAAGCTCTGCTTGGAGGACGCGACGCCAGATAAAGTCACAGTCATCTCCGGTTGCGGCTGCGCTTTCTGCACAAAGGTTTGTCTGAACTTAATATCATATCTTCAAAAGAGCGGATTGATAACTTCTCGTATGAAAGATAAGTTTTAGATACCTGTTGATATTCTATTCAACTTGTAACATAAAGCAATAGAAATAGACTTACTGTACTTTTGATGAAATTAAAAAAATATATAAAAAACGACTGCTATTATTAGTTTTTTTTAGTTTGTGTAGTAAATCTGCAAAATAACGTCAGAGTAAAGGTCAAATAAGCTTAGATTTTGCAAACATATAGAAGAAAGTGTCGGCTTTATTTCGTTGAGACCGAATGAGAGAAAAAAGTGTCTCGTGCATTACTTAAAAATACACACAACAGTATAGCAACCTATGTAGAGACATAGGTTTGCAGAGGCAAACACTTAATGCCTAGCATTCCGTTAAGCACGACAAGTCCTGGGTTCGAAAAAATTGATCGGGCCGGGCACACAAACACACACAGAAGTCCGATCTTTGTATTATAATAAAATCGTGATGGGATTTCCCTAGATATTTGGTAAATACTAACATTATTATATATAGTACCCAAAGTCATTAATGCTAGTTTTTGTAATACTAGGGATCCCACCCCGCTTTGCTCGGGTGAAATGCTAATACTAAATACACTGCAGAAAAACTGTGATCGTTGTATATAAAAGCCTTCCTCTTGGATCACTCTATCTACTCAAAACCGCATCAAAATCCGTTGCGTAGTTCTTAAGATTTAAGTGTACATACAGACAGAAAAAGCGACTTTGTTTTATAATATGTAGTGATATTAGTAGTAAATAAAACTACAAAATACTACGTTATGAATACTTGTAAACAATTTTTACTCGGAGCAAATTTATAGTTAAAAGGGTAATTTTATTTATCGCTATAAATTCCGTTTAAACGTATTAATATGCAAATCGATACGACGTGAAAACACATTTTACTTTTACACGTGAATGCGCTGTCATTATATTAATTGTATACTGAGTGTGCGCTCTTGCCGCTGCGCGTTGAACAATAGAAAAATGTTTCCTCGGTAAACACATCTAACGACCTGTCATTACTGGCTATAACTTATCTGTGTCTTTGGAAAAATTATCTCAGAGTTTGAGAAATTAACAAAATTACTGCTAGTTTAGATAATAATGTACACTAAAGAGGTATGGGGATGGTTTTATCATTTGGCATTGTTACTGCCTGATTTTGAAGTTAACTTTGTCATATTTTATACTGATTTATATTTTTTTGTTTAATATGAAGTACAGACAAGCATGGGGTAGATAATGAAGTTATTTTGAAATGTTTTTATATTGCATCATACTTTCTACAACGATCCGCATGCAAGAGAGCGGGAAAAACAAAAACATAAAGATTTTACATGTGCTACCAACATATGACAAGAAAAGTGAACAGTCCTCTCAACATTAAATCAACGTATTGACATTGCACAGATTATCTAACAGATAAAATATCCCCGCCGCATAAAATTGACACAATATGCACTGTCGATCTCTTTTGCCTGTGAATATAAGTCCACAGACTGAATCCGAAAGGCGAATAGGCTTCACGGCTTTTTTATCTGTGATACTAAAATAATATTATAATTTTATTGGAAACATGTTGGACTTGCATCCGGATCGACCCATTGATTGCTATACATTGCTACCATGAGATCAACGAACCTGTCAAGATTAGTTATTTTTGAAGTAGTCTTAAATTTCAACGTCTCCACACGTACATATTTTGTAGTTGTACATTTCATTGCGTCTTAACAATAAGACGACTTATGTTTTATCCACGTCTTTAGTAGAGGTCTTACCAGCTCAGAGCGGTTTACCACCATCCCCCCATAATATAATACATCTATGATAAACTCAAGAATAATCTTAAGTCAAAATCGATATAACAATTCAACAATTATCAGCAAATTTACTCTCCATGTTTCATCGACGCAAAGTACGGTTTTAAGTAAAACGTTTTCCAAGGTTACGGTTAGCAACTGATCTAGAATGTTCCATTCTGACTTTCAATTAGTTCTTGGGCAAGGAAGTTTTTATTTTGTTATATAATATAGCAATATTTACGGGGTCTTGCGACTTTTTAGCATTCAGCAATATATGCCCCATAGCCAACGGGTCGTTGTTTCCGTCAACGGATGCAGCAGATGTCTGGAATTGTGGATATTGAATAAATAGCATAAATAGAGAGACAGGTAGTAAACGTCGATTCGTAGTTTAAAATAAAGTAACGAATATACTCCATGTTCTAAACCGTCAAAACCGTTTTGTTTTAATACTCTGTACTATACTAGTCTGGAGTTTACGCGAGTAGTATACATTTAACTATTTTATTTTAACATATTTAAAATTTATTTTAACTACGGCCCGACTTTTCGGATGCTTTGCAGCAGCCTTGGCCACGGGGAGTAAAGAGGAGGGTGGAGGGTGTCTCGGATGTCAAAGTAAAAACTGCTATGCTAGCGCCATCTGTTCCGTCGTAGTTGATATTTTGCGAATAAGTTTAACTCATATATAACGGGTTTTAAACCGTTAAAGTGTGCTGTTTACTCATAAGATATTTTCAAGTCGGGTAGTACAGGTGTTATTTCTGAGATACCGATTTATTTTTCTTCGAAATTGATTTACCTTCAACGTTCAGGTGCGAAGGAGACAAACCTTTATTCTATTTTTAGCTGTATTTCGCATTAGCAACAGTTGGACTCACCTTGATGAATGCATGCAACAGATGATGTAATTTTTTTCCTAATGCCACACGGTCATTGTTCCGTCGTAGAATGAAAGGCGACTTTGTTCTAATTTTTTGTTTTTTTAATTAATTCGTCTCTTAAAAGCAATAAGGTTCTAGTAATCTATACTAATACATAAAGCTGAAGAGTTTGTTTGCTAGAACGCGCTTATCTGAGGAATTACGGGTTCGAATTAAAAAGATCTTTTTTGTATTTGTATTGGTTAGAGCATTTATCGTGGAAGGCTATAAAACATCGCGCTGTGACTAATAGAAGCGAAGATATATCGGGAATTGTGAACAAAACGGTGTAAATTTTTCATCTCTGTGGGTTTCAGATGCGTACGCTGCGAAAACGGTTCAAGACACCCATAAAATATGTATAAAAGAATGATTACGTTTTAAATGATCTAAAAAATGTCCGCGACACTATGTCTATCTTTTAAGATAACTTGCAAGAACGTCGGAAGTCGAACGACGGGACGCAACCGATATCGTGGGCAGCTTCAATTTATAAAAATGTAGAGGTTTGAAAACATTAACATTGCTTACATGTTATTGCACACGAAGGCACCATATAATTTAAAAACCTTAATACGCAAGTGTTAAGGTTGAAATTAGAATGCGCGAGAGAATTGAGAGAGAAAGAAAGATTGAAATTCGACGATGAGGTGTAGGACTCGGTATCTCAATTGGTAGAGCAACGGAACACTGACGATGCCGGTTCAAGTGCTGCGAGTAGAAATTTTTTTTAATTTATTTTCGAATTTTAATGTAGAGGTTGCAAAAACTAATTTGGATGCCCAAAATAACTATTCTATGCGGACGAAGTCGCTGACACATAGATCAAACGTCGAATCTTGGTTCAAATATATTTCGAGTTCTCTAAACTATTGTTAATATAGGTTCTTATATACATTCTTTGTTGCAGCAGGAAGTTTTTAATTTCTTATGTATATTTGCAATAATAGTGGATTGATAAGTTAATTACATTAAATACTTAGTTTGTCTTAATTGTACAAAAACTAGCTTTTACATAAATTAAACAGGTATGTTGAAGAGAATTAGCATGGTTTAAAACCAGTTCAAAAAATATAAACAAGTATATTATTTCGAGATGAGGTAAATGACATTGTGTACAACAATTTTTATTGTTTTGCTTGTTGAAGTCAAGTTTTTACGGTTTTTTAGTATATTACTATTTTGTTTACAGTGAGATTTTGAAATAAATAAAAAAAGCAAATGCATGATGAGATTACCCTGTATGTAGGCCAAGATCTGTAATTTTCTTGATGTAAATATGTATAGTTGTTTTAATTTTAGTAAAATAATATAATAGACGTTAAACAAATTATATTTTTGCCGCGGCGTAGACATTAAAAGTATAGACTATACAAATTGGACAGGAATCATGCTATTTTTTCTTATTAAAAAATAGCCATTGTTTGGTGTCGGCAGATATAAAATATATGATTAATTATTTATATGAATATATAAAAATGTCGTTGTACAATTTGCGCTTCTCAGTCATTACTTCACTGGGTAAAGTTTTACCTAGTCACTCAAAATATAAACTTATATACGTAAACGATTGAAAAATATCCTCTTTCACCATTTTCGTAATTCGTTACGCTTGACCTTAACAATTCTTCCTACACGTTCCACGTCAATACGTTTCCTTAAAACCCTTCCGTAATAAAGCCTTCAAAATATATAAGGGTAATAAAATACGCGTAATATTTTATTAAAGTACTTTCAATAAACTTTGTTTCCCTGTTTGGTTACGTAAGTCATGGATTTGATGTAGCACAAACCAGAGATTATAGATGTTGTTATACTACAAACTTTCCCCTGTTACCTCTATGTTTGTCTATTGTTTGTTAAGTTTGCAACTGTTCTTCTGATACCCTATTTGGGCATTTCATATAGACTTTAGACTATAGAGTAATCTCTATATTAATAATATTTTTTTTTATGAATTGTCGAAAAAAGCTGTTACAGTCAATCGAAGTATATTAAAAACCATTTACGTTCCTTAAAGTAGAATGCCAAAATCAACAGCTTCCTCATTATACAAACTACAGAATTATAAATAATTAAGCAATGTAAATAAAACACTTTAACGGTTTAAAACGCGATATTAGTTAAACTTATTTGAAAATGATTTTTAACTTCGGGCCGAAGTATTTTTAAATAAGTTTAACTAATATATCGCGTTTTAAACCGTTAAAGTGTTTTATTTAAATGTGTACTACTCGCGT